TAAGTACTGGTAAATACTGGTAAGTAAGTAATTACCGGTAAGTAAGTAAGTAAGTAAGTACATACTGGTAATTAAGTAAGTAAGTACTGGTAAGTAAGTAAGTACGTACTGGTAAGTAAGTAAGTACGTACTGGTAAGTAAGTAAGTCAGTCAGTAAGTAAATAAGTAGGTAAGTAAATAAGTAAATAAGCAAATAAGTAAGTAAATAAGTAACTAAGCAAATAAGTAAGTAAGTAAATAAATAAATAAGTAAGTAAGTAAGTAAGTAAGTAATAAGTAAATGAGTAAATGAGTAAATAAGTAAATGAGTAAATAAGTAAGTTAGTCAGTAAGTAAGTAAGTCAGTCAGTAAGTAACTAAGTAATTAAGTAAGTAAGTAAATAAGTAAGTAAATCAGGTCTCTCTTGTAAATGAGTCCTCGAGGCTCAATGGGATTTACCTGTCTAAAAAAAGGTTAAAAAAAAAAACAAGTGAATAAGTAAATAAGTAAGTCAGTCAGTAAATAAGTAACTAAGTAAATAAGTAAGTAAATAAGTAAATAAGTAAGTAAATAAGTGAATAAGTAAATAAGTAAATAAGTAAGTAAGCAAGTAAGTGTCCTTCCATCCATCTGTGTCTATCTTTGACCGTGGTCTCTGTCTAAAGTTAGAAAAGTGTCACCTCCACAAAACAAACTAAGTCAGAAACCTACCGATCTGATTCACGTACCACATCTGTATGGGCGCGTCATCATATTTACATGTTTTATTTCTTTGGTCAGCACTCGAATGAACTGTCACTTGAACCAGTTAACGTATAACTGCAGAGTCAGAGGTACCTCAACCTCATTTCATCTGAGAAATGCAGTTTAGGCCCCGACTGCTCACCAAAGAGGTAAATGAAGCCTCAGAATGATAGCGGTGGCGCTAACCTTCAGCTAATACAAAAACAGCTGCAAAGCTGCAAACAGAAAACGCACAATGCAGTATAATGGTACACATGAGGCTTTTTCATTAAAATTATTAAATATTATTTAATGGTTAGGAAATGCTGTATTTTATAAATGTGTTTTGTGTCGGCGCATCGCTTCATATGGGCTTTAATATTTTTAATACATTTTAATGTCAGGAACACAGATCTAGATCTTTTTTTTAGAAAAAGTTGTCTACAAGTGTGAAAAATTATTTTAAAAACAGATCTATTTTTCTGCCTAAGCTGGACAAAGACAGGTTTTAAAAGTAACAAAACGTGCCCAAAAACTTTTCATTAACTCATTTATCAGTGTTTTACCTTTAATTTGGTCTACTCAAGGAAACAAGTGCCTCTCAAAGTGGTTTTTTTTTTTTGTTTTTGTGCCACTTCTCAGCAGGGAACAGTGACTTCCTGGTATCTTTTCTGGTTGCCTAGCAACCTCTTGGCAACTGCATTGTGGTCAAACAGAAAGGCCAATCTGTCCCAGTTCAAACCGAGCCGAGATAAATTGTACAGAACAAGTGGGAGTATATATTTCAAAATATTTGTGACAACGTTCATCAGTTTCTCTTCTGCACAAGTGGAATCTGCTGTCCCACAGTCACATGACGGATGGAAACCAGTCTTTTCACATCAACTGTAGGAAGAGTCTTTAAACGTCACACGAAGAAGTGAAGCCGTTCGTGCGTTCGAGGGCGTCAGCGCTGTTTGCTCCCTCTATCTTAACTCTGTATTCATTCAAGCCATTATCCTCATCAGAGCAGCGCCGGTAGCCGAGCAGAGCAATTAGTGAGTTGGGTGAAGGCCAAAGTCCGTCATGAATAAAGCTTTGTTTGAGTTTTCTTTCTGGACGAGGTCTCCTTTTTCTTTCTTTTTTTTAAATTTCGTTCGATCGTTCTTGCTCTCATCACTCCCTTGGGCTTTGACATTCAAAGCTAGGCTTAGACTGTGGTTACATCTCATCTAAGATGGTAATTAGACAGCAATAAGCAGAGATCATATAATTTCTAATCCAGTAGCAGCATGTGGACACGCATGGAAACAGTTGAACTTGTGACTTTTAATTTCCACACATAAAGGCTCTGATTTGAGTCCTAAATGTCAGTAACTCCTGAACCCCGGGAGGCCGTGAAACGGCTTACTGTCCTCTGGGAGTTGGAGTTTCCACGTGCGTCAGAGCGTGGACGGCTCTGTGGTTTGGCTCACCTGTAACACTGTCGGGCCTCGGGAATGAAGTTCCTTCAGGGGCGTCGTCTCCCACTATGTTGGGGTCATGGGTGCAGGGTGGGGGGTGGTACACCGGCGGTCTGAGGCCTGGCTCCTGGAACAACCTCTTTGGGACTTCAAAGAGAAGAAAGCAAAAGTGGAAAGTTTAGCTAGGTGGGGAAAACTTCACTATAGTTACACAAAAGGTTTTCAAAGGTGAAATTATGGTACACATATACCAGACTGCATATATCTATATTTAATATTGACACATTTGTACATAGCTTTAAATTGTGCACTGTTCCTTGATTTTATCAAGTTGCTACTTTAATGGTTTAGTAGTAACTGCCGTTTTATGGCAGGTAATAATGTAAATACCTGTGGGGAAGCGTGTGCGTCTGTCTGTTAGCAAAATATTTAAAGACTCATAACAGCTTTCAATGGAACTCTAAGAAAAGCATTACTGATCTTACAACGGATTAACTTCTGGAGGCAACTCTGTTCAAGATGGCCACCGAAGCTCATCAAGTTTAGCAAACACAAAAATGGGGATAACTCAGTCAGTTTTACAGATATTGAGTTACAGTCTGGTGTGGATGAAGCTAAAAAAAGTCATTCACAGTGTATATTCTGAGCACAAGAGATTGTGCAAAATCTTTATTTTAAACTTTGGAATTAACCCTTGAAGTCAACTCTGTCTGTTAAATATTTAATGAGCAAGTGGACACATTTTAATGATTCTCTGAGTCATTATTTTGGAGTCAACCCAATTCAAGATGACCGCCGCAGCTAATCAACCTCAGATAAGAACGAGCTTGTCCATAATTTAGTCTGTTTAATAAATATTGAGCTATAATTAAAATTAAATTTCAATCTTTGTTTTTTACAAACTTCTAGAAAAATAAATCCAATTAGCTGCTACTGTTTACCAGTGTTACCAGTAGCAATGGCAGCAATTACTACAGTTTAATGCAGTGGAGATTCTACAAGTGACTTAAATTTGTTCCGTTTTAAAACAATGAATAGTTGTTAATCAAGATCCTGATGCATGCTCAATAATCGAAGTAGAAAAAAATAGTTAGGATGACTACATTGAAGCCATCTTTGTGAAAAGAAACCATCCATCTTTAAACAGGGGCGGTGGCCTCTGTGTTCAACTGTCCCCCTCTTACAATGCTGTTATTGCCAGTGTCACTCAGCCCTCTGTGAATAGCAAGCGGCCATCAGGGCATTAACGATCAATCGTTGGGTTGATGGTTAGGCCTGTCACAATAACAATTTTTTTAATGGGTGATTGTCTCAGAAATTATTGCAATAAACAATAATATTGTTTGATATTTAACAATAATTAACTGTCAAATTTTAGAATGTTGATTTGTTTGCAGTGTAGTACCTTTTCTGACCACCTGATGGCAGTATAAGACTGTTTGAACCAAAGGATGGATAGTTGAGCAGTGTGTCTCTAAGATAAATGAGAGGGAGGACCCTTGACGTGACATGGGCTGACATGGTGACATGGCGAACGCTCGGTGTGGTTTGAGCTCTTTAGCATAGCATTTTTCACACAAAGCTTTTAATAAAAACATCCGTAAACAAGTTCTCAGCTTCTTTTTGCAAAGAAAAACAACTTTTTACACAAAGGCACGGGTTTCAACAGTGAATTTTGGAGCTCGACAAGATGGAGGTTTATTCCCGAGGTGGCCTGTTAGCTTAGCTCGTAGCTTAGCTTCTCAGCTTAGCTGCTTTTAACGATCCAAAAACGCGATCGGTTAAAAACAAATTTTAAAGAGAAAAGAGAAACGGAGGGGGTCACTGAAGAGCCCCGGAGTTGGGCCGTGTATTCAGTAGAAAGAGAGAGACACGAAGAAACGAAAAAGCCGGTGAATGAAAATGAGGCTGATAATTTTCATTAATTGATTTATTGTTTATCACGACAGGCCTACTGATGGTCCTCCTTTAGCATATGAACAGCTAGTTTTGAATGCCAACAACAAACTGGTTGATCCACTATGAGAAGGTGCTATTTATAAGACTGAGTTAGAAACGTTTCAACAGTTTTTATTTTTATTTTGTACTTTTTGTATCCGTCCAGAGGATTTGACTTAACTTTGTTAGAGTTGTTAATCAACTAATTGATCTGCCATCCATTTGTTTCTGTGGTAGAGAATTTTAAGTGATGACTAATTTTCTCAAAAATTATTAAAGCAATATGTTTTTGAAACTTTATTTTGGTTTTAACCAAAGATTTAAAACAGATGTAGATAACAACAACAGTTGCCTCCGTGCATTTCTGAGTTATGGTTATAGACGGCGTTCGGGTGATGACTCGTGCTCCTTTTTCATGTTACACACTGATTCCCAAAAATTAAGCTTCCTCCACTTCTGTCCCTTTTCAGACCCCCTAACCCAACAGCATCTTGTGAGTCAGGGAGTCTGCACTCTTTCCCTAGACACAAACCCACAATGCAGTGGGCTATACATTCCTGTCTGCTCACATGTGGTTCTGCAGGCTGGGCCACGCTTGGGTCACCGTGTTTGTCCGCCCCGTTCAATCAGCAGCGGTCTGAAGCTCAATGCATGACTTTTCCTGTTGTTCTCGCACACTCATCGCTCCAAACAAGCAAACGAGCCATCAAGAACCAGCATCAATAGTCCTGCCTGTGATCTAGGGCAAAAATGAACCATTCATTGCAAAGCCAGAGAATAAACAGACTGATCAAATTTCCAGAGCCGTAGAGTTTGGCAGCGATCCAAGGGCCAATCAAAGCGCAGGAAAGAGCGGAACGCACCATACGCGCTCCTTTTACCAGATCATGCTTGTACTCTGGATACGTTAGAAGACTTTTCTGTGAGCAATAATGAAAACCTGCACCGTCTTTGTTTTGAGCTGCTGACATTTTCAACTTTCACTACAAGGGGATTCCCTCTGGTCTAGTTTTTGTGTCACAGCACCGTGTCATGGTTGGAGAACCGTCCAGCTGCAGCTTTTGGAACAGAATCTGTAAAACAACGCTCTGGTTTTCAAACCAGTGTGCCGTATGTTGTCATGGGGAGGCTGAGCTCAAAACGTCTCAGAAAATGGTGACCAGTAAGAACTAAATCTGGTTGAGAAGTTAGGAAAAAGTAAATGATCACTTGTTGCTCTAAACAACCATTTCATTGAAAAAAAAATGCACAGGTGGTCTACATTAGTAAAACAAACAATGAAGTCAAAAATGTGGCATTTTCAGTAAATATGTTACTACTCAGAGGTACAGTAATTCAATTTCACAAAGAAGAGATTTTATTTATCGGAGGCAATGTGTTCAAAATAATGATACTTCTTCCAGTTATCGAACTGTTAATAATGGTGTACCACAAGGCTCAGTCATAGGACTTACGCTCTTTACAATCTACATAGGCAATGTAGGTCAGATCATCCCTGATGCATCCTCATTTCTATGCCGACGACACAGTTGTTTATTGTCGAGCTAAAACAGTTGCTAAGGTTTTCCAGCTTTTGCAATCCACTTTTGACATCATCCAGTCCGATTTGTTCCGTCTCAAACTTGTACTATAAACACCGACAAAACCAAAGGGATGTTGTTTTCAAGCAGGAAGTTGGTCCCAGCAGTCCCTCGATTTTATCTTTGAATGGTGCTCCTATTGAGTTTGTCGATTGCTACAAATACTTGGGTATCTTGGTCGATTCACATCTCTCTTTTAAGCTTCTCGTGAAAAACTTGATAAGAAACTGAAAGTTAAACTGGGTTTCTTTTTCAGAAATGGATCCTGTCTAACTCTGAATGCTAGGTAACACCTTGTGACTGCGACTTTCTTTCCCTCCACTGACTACAGTGACATTATTTACATGAGCGCCCCTACAAGCTCCCTGGAGATGTTGGACGCTGTCTATCATGGTGCACTAAGATCCATAACTGGCTCTAACTACCGTACCAATCACTGCACCCTGTACACACCGATTAACTGGTCTTCATTAACTTCACGTAGACTCTCTCATTGGTACTTTTTCATCTTTAAATCACTTCTCGGTCTGTGTCATACATCTCCTCCTACATGTCACTGTGTGAGTGCAGCTACAGCGTGCGCTCTCAGGACATTATTACCTGCAGTGTCCCCTCAGTGTAAACTGAACGAGGTAAAAGGGCCTTCTCCTACTCCGCTCCTGTTTCCTGGAATATCTTACAAAAAGATCTGAAGCTCTCGACCTTGACCTCTCTAAATGGCTTCAAACATCTGTTAAGTTCATGGCAAATACCAACGCAGACATGTTCCTGTTTTTAGTTTTCTACACCGCCTTACAATCGAGCTGTTTTGGTTTCGTTTTTTCAATAAAATTTTCTTTCATGTATATTTTCAATTTATATGCTTTCTTTTAAGATCGTCTACTGTTGTCATCATTCTTTGTTTAAAACAAGTCTCTCTTGTAAATGAGTCCTCGAGGCTCAATGAGACTAACCTGTAAAAATAAAGGTTGAATGAATGAATTAATGTTTAGGTAATGGCAGAAAAGTAAAGGACAGCTGTTATTGAGTGATAAAAACACTTTATATTTTTTTTTTTGACTAGTAATACATATTTGACTTTTTGTTTAGGTCCAAAGTGGCAACAACAATGTAAGCTTAAAACACAAACAAATGCTACACATTTAGCATCTGAATTTTGGCATTAACTGAGCCCATCAACCCTGTTTGTCTGTTAGCAAAATATCCCCTGAACCACTGGACAGATTTCAATGAAACTTTCAAAAATGAATCACCAAAAGTACGGCTACAACTGATCACTATTTGGAATCACCCACATTTAAGACAGCCACCACAGCTAACTGACCTTTGCCAACATAAAAAATGGCTATAATAGTCAGTTTTATAGAGATTGAGCTAGGAATTAGCGTGGTAGTAGCTGAGACTCATCCTCAACACATATTTGAAGTAACAGATGACACAAAATCTCACATTTCATAAGATGACACATGACGTGACTTAGTACGTTGGTCTTAATTTACATATATATTGATATACTGATATGCTGTCTTTCAAAAAAAGACAAAATACTTCACAATAAGGGAATAAAAAGCAAACAGAAGTTATGTAACTAATACAATGAAAAGCAAACGTCACGTTAGACAAACTTTC